TAAGGTACCATACATTATAAAGTCAAAGACGTGAATCAACCTAAGGAAGGCAAAGACGCTCGGCTCGAATTGGTCGTTCAATGATAACTTCAAGAGTGACGTTTGAAATAATAATATATCTGTAGTATCTGTTGCCGTCTGGATGAACTCTCGCTGGCCAATGCTAGTGATATGATGATCCCCGATCCCGGTCAAGCCTTAAAGAATAGTGGCATTAACTACTAGTTGCATTAGTTAGCAAAAGTTTTTTATCGCTCTTTGTTCGCCAAACCAAGGAAACTTGGCGCAACTAATTCCATTAAGTCATCAATTCCGGTGGGCAGTGCTATTGCCAGTGCCATTGCCAGTTCTATAGTTTGAGGGAGGAGACTCGGCGCGGGCAGTTTTGACAGCGCAGCTCCCTTACCTACCTTAGCAGGTAGGTCCCTACGTCGGTGCGCGCACCTTCCTTCTTCTTCCCCTTCCAACTTGTTACTCTACCTTCACCTCTTCTTCTTATCATCACCCCTAAAGAACAACCACTTCGCACATGATGGTGATACCTCAACTCATGCGTGGATAAGAAAACTCCTCGGAAAGACGCCATTGGCCCCCAAAAGAGGAGTATGTTGCTCTTGTGCTCCCCTTGCTTCGTCCTTCCCAGCCGCTCGATTTACTTAGCTTCACTTGCAGCACTGCTTGCTTGTTCAGGCTCCGAGCTGCGCATGACGGCTGCGCGACAACGTTCAAGCCCTTGCGCGACATTTACTAATTTTCGAGCTGCAAACAGATTCGCTGGACGAAGAAAGCCCCTTCAAGCGGCCTCAGTAAGAACATTCGATCAAACGAAACGAGCTGCTGATTAGCTGCTCGGCCACGCGCGCGCAAACCTCCAAACAACCTTTTTTGTTCCTTGCGTTGGCATCGTCGAACAAATGCGATTGAGCGCAAACTCGCGTTGTTTCTATAAATTCCACCGCATAAAGTAATTGGCTACGTCAGTCGAATACCGATCATTTCGCGCTGGTTATTTTACGTATCGCGTGCGCGTGCGTTTTGTGCGAAGTGCTTGCAGTTCAAGATTCTCTCTTACTAGTGGCTCGTTTCTCGAGGACCTCTCAGCTTGTCTGGACCTTGGTCTGGCGGGCGGTCACTGCAGCTCCTAGTACCAACCCCCCAATTTTCCAGCTTCGGGCCTGGCTTGGGTTTCCTGCCACCAGCTTTTTTTTTTTTGACATCACCAGCCGGTGCCCATCCTCTTGGGCTCACATACGCTCACCCAATTTGACCCTCCTCACCTTTACTTCACTCGCCTCAACATTCCAGTTGGGCAATTACACTTCTCGGTTCTGTCTCGAGTAGACTCAGACCGGACTGAGACCTGGCCGTCCTTCCCGAGACCATCACTGTCATTCAGTCTGAAGAGGCCTCTTTATTCTGAACTGTTCACCCGCTTGGCAACTCGAAAAGAAACCAACTTTTTGTACAACGCATCAGGACCTTCCCCCACTCCACCGTCCCGAAACCTCCACCGTAACGCAACACACCACCAGCGCCCGCTGGTGAACCTTCAACTTGTCGAACTTCCGCAACCCAATTCCTCGCCCTTTCAGCGCCGCAGACGTGACCAGAATACGATTATCTGCTTCTTACGACCGTCACGACACTAACGCGCCCACGACCCCTACCCAGCACCCGCAACGCCAGCATTCAAGGACTCCAAGTCTTGACTCACGACCGCTGTTTAATCAGACGTCGGATCCCATTGAGCGGCTCTCCACGCCCCGAAGTCTTCGTCGAACCCCAAGATTTGACGCACCTCCGACCCCAGCACCTGAGCCTCGCAAAGTCCATATCGCAGCTGCCTCTCTCGGTTTTGAACCCAAGGCGACCCTCGCACCCGTTGACAACCTACCGGAGAACCATCCCACTGTATTGGGACTTATCCCCGTTCGTTCAGCGCCGCATCAAACTCACCGCCCCCGCCGACGGCTCTCACAGGACCTGACTGAAGATCCTGACGAGGTGTCTTCTGAGCATCCCCAATCCCCCCCGAGACAGACTCCTTCCGTACCTGCAAACCATCCAGAACCACACCCCGTGGTTAAGATCTCCAAGCATACCCACAGCGCCATCCTCTTTGCACTCGAGGAGGCGCTGCGCAATCCCAATCCTTTCACTCCAGATCTCGAAGAGGAATCTGCAAGCATGGCCGATCTTATGGCTTCTGGAGGCATGCCTCCAGTCTCCAATGGTAAGCCAGCTGCCTCTCCATTCCGCCCTGGCGCAACTCCTGGTCAAACCGGCTCACCCTCTGGTATCAGAGGCCCAAGGATGATCATGCAGGAGCGCGCAGCTCGGGAAGCGCGCCAACGCGCCGAGGCAGAGGCGCAACAGCGCGAGAGAGCAGAGCAGGAGGCGCGCATTTTGGAGCAGGCTCGGAGAGCAGAGGAACAGCGTAGATCTGCTGGCGTTGCTGCTGGGCAGGTTCCTGACACAGAAGCGCGTCAACCCATGAACCCCCAGCGTCAGGCGCAAGCCGTTCCTGATAACACATCAGCCCGTCCCAGGGCAAACACTACATCACAAGTACCAGCTAGCCGGCCCGGGCGATCTGGCACTACCAACCAACCACCTCCCCAAACTTTTACGGGCCCAACTCCCGGAAACCAACCAAATTTTGCTGCACAGGGCACTGAGAGCGGAAACCAGGGGGGTGCCAGTGGCTCAAAGACCCGAAATTCTTTTCCTCATGCGTTTGAGCGATGGGAGACGTTATCTGCGCACTGGGAAGGACTTACCAGCTACTGGATCCGCAAGCTTGAACAAAATAAAGATGAGTTGAATCGGGATCCCTTGAATCAACAGCTCGCGCGCCAGGTGACAGATCTATCTGCGGCCGGAGCCAATCTATTTCATGCCGTTGTTGAGCTTCAGCGTCTTCGTGCAAGTTCGGAGCGAAAATTCCAGCGATGGTTCTTCGAAACTCGAACTGAATTGGAGCGCGCGCAAGAAGTCAATGCCATGTTGGAGGCTGCCCTGGACCAAGAACGTCGAGGCCGAGCAGATGCTATCCGAGAAGCTGTCGAGAATGAGCGAGGAACTTCTAAAGCTCAGAAACAGCTTGCTGAGATGCGCAAGGAGCTGTCCATCTCTAAAGAGGAGGCGCGTCGTGCATGGGAGGAATTGGGGCGACGTGAGCAGGAGGAACGTGACAGAACGCTATCTCTTCAGTCAGGACAGCCTACTATAGTTGGAGGCGTACAAGTGGTTCCAATGACACATGGCGGTCCGAGCAGACATCAAAGCAGCCGAGCTCAAGGGTCTTATCAGACTGAGTATGGAGCTAATTACCCGCCTGAGACGACTTCCTCTCCCCAGACTCAGCCTCCAACAACAAGTGCTGGCGAATATCGTCAACAGGGTGGTGGCCTTCAAGCACCAGTATCAGAGGGTGGTTACAGCGAAGGTGAGTACGTGATTGATGCAAATGGCAACTTCCTGTTGGATGCCCAAGGAAATAAGATTCCCTTCGCTGGACCACCTTCTACATATTCCGGTTCTGATGCTGAAGCAGAAGAGTATGCAACGCCCGCTACCACCAATCCACCAAGCGGTAAACAAGACTCTCCTTCCACCTCTACTGGAGGAGGAGGCAGTGGAGGCAGCGGAGGCCAATGGACTGGCGCATACTCAGACCCCCAAGACTATTCCGGCCAAGGCTATGGGACTCCTGGCTGGGAGACAGTCCCTCGCCATCACCATCCTACCCGGCTGAGTGATGTCATGGAAGAGGAGGATGAACGCAGCCGAGCCAGTACGAGCCGTGTATAGGACTCTGCGAGTTGATGCTGATGCACATGGCCGGCGTGTATACGACTCTCTTTTTCAAACAGTAATTTAATTGCAGCCAAACGACACATTCATTTATGCCGGGCCGGTTACAAAACAACTACGGTCCACCACAGGCAAGGAGAGTCCTAATTTTTTTTTTTAGATCAGTCGTCTGTTACAGTTCTATGTTGGAGCGTTGTCGCATTATTACAGCCATTCCCGCTTTACAGCACTGGAAATTCGGTCCCAGCCCTTGTTCTATTGTATATTCGACCGAAACGAGTTTCCTCGACCATGTCTGCATCTAGAGAAGGCCTTTATTATGTCATGATAATCCACACCATGCCCGGGGCCTGTTCGAATTGACCGCCTTTTGTTCAATTGTATCTATACATCAGCTATACACATCGAAGCGGACTTGGGATCACACAGCAAAACAGTTTCCTCGTGTTTCTCTATCTATCTCTTTTATTATGCACTTATCATGAAAAGTTTCGGACGACCGAATCAATAGCGACGAAGAGTTGTTGCGGATATGGTCCTGCCATCACGAAAAGCTTCACTTCTGACCTGATCAGTCCGGAGACAGCTTTCGCTACTGGGGGATATTTGGAGTTCACATCTGTTGCATGTATGGTTTTATTGCTAAAATAAGAAGAACGAGATGTGGAGTTGAGGGTCTTGGAGTACGGAGTGCGTATGGAAATTGGAGTTCTTGCTGTTGTTTTTCTCGCTCGCATGGATGACAGAAGATCCTGGCCAACTAATAATTGCTAGATGGGATCGGTGTTGCAGGGCCACATTCATAAGGACTAGAGAGTACGGGGTCAGTGTGGAATTTCTACGTTTCACGATGCAAACATTTAACAATTTCAAGCAACATGCTATATGTTCGGGATTGATATCACAGGTAACTAGGCCGACTGTAACTGCGCTCAAAGGCATCTGTGAATAGAAAGTGCAAATACTCCAGCTGATATGCATTGTCGTCGATACTATTCATTCGAGCCCTAAAACGTATATATATGTGTGTGGACATTGGCATGCCCAGGGTTGTTTGAAACCCAGAAGCCTTGCCATAGACACTAATCAAGAAACCCAGAAGAAACTCTACACAAGAAAACGCCATTCGTTCGCCTCTCACACTCTTCACATCTCCAAAAGCTACATAGAGAGATATTTCGTATTCATACAGCTGCGTCACCCCTTGCCTCAGCACTGTCCTGCTGAGATGTGGTGCCCCAAGGAAAGCCATCGCTAGTGCTAGCTTGTGATGACTGGCGGTTTCTGCTCCTGAACCAACTCAATGAGAGGATGTTACCGAGAACACCCGAGTCTGTGGAGCTCCTGCTTCTCTTGTATCGACGAGCCTTCAGACCTGGAAATCCTGTGCTCTTCCGCCTTCGTCGTGGAAGTCGTCGAGGTGTAGATTCGGTGCTTGGCCCAGATTCCTCCCCAACGGGGCCACTGGTGGTAGATCTCTTGGTAGGGAGTAGGGGTGAGGACTCTGTATGGCGCGGCAGTGTACTAGACCGTCTCCTATTGCCTGGAGTGCTGGGCTCATCTCGATCCTCCAACTCATCCCAAATCTCAGCTCGCTCAGCCCACCGAGGGATCCTCTTGCGAGAGGGGACCAGTGGTGTTTCGTCAATTGCGGGCGGGAATGTTTGATATGTATGTGGAATTGAGTCTTCATCTGCAACGGCGTTGTCTGAGCCAAGCAGCGACTCTTCCTCCTCAGTGTCCTCCACAAGTCCAAGACCAGGGGCAAGGGACGACTGTCCAACGCCGGGTGTATGCTGCTCGTCGCTTAATCGCCATGAGAGTGCCAAGACACCGGAAAGCAGAATAACAGTTCCCAAAGCAATGAGACATGCTCTTAGAGGGGATATTAGGCTTGTCTGGTTGAAATATATCAAACCGTCAAGTATGGCAATGATGTTGTAGACACAGAAAACCAAAGGGTAAAGAACCGAGGTTGAAACAAGTTTGAGACCTCGGTGTAAATAATAGAGCTGGCAGAGAGCCAGCGTGACGAGGGCTAGGACGATGGCCCAAGATTGCCAATGCACGAACTGGTTACGTCCAGCAACAGTCTTGATGACCAGCTCTACTGAGGACTTGGCAAACAATAGTGCATGAGCAGAGAGATCTCCACTGATGACACCGTAAGTAATGCCTCGAGCCAGCCGAAAGCGGGCGTCGTGTGATAGGCTCGACATGCTGTTGATTAGATCAACGGCCAGTGCCAGAGTGAGGACAAAGAGCGCCTGGAGTATCATCCAGACAATGTATGGCCTTCTCGCCATGAGTTCCAACAGCTCTTTCAAGTCATGCGCCGGCGAAGGAATGGCTCCGAATATAGCGATCAATACAGCGCCAGTTGTAACGAGAATCGTGCCGGACAAAGACCATCTTGTGAAAGGTTCGCTGAGGATCAATGATGCGCATATCGAGTTGAATACGAGGCCAGCAGCCTGCAACGTCGAGAGAACGGGGAGCGGAAGTGTCGAGATCTGAATACTGCTTCCCAGCAAGTTCGCTACAATAAACATGCCCATACCGATCTGCCACCTCCTCCTTCGGTAGGGAGGCCGTCGGACATCGTGAGGTCCCTTTTCGTCCTCGAGTATATGCGACTTTCGCTGCAAGGTCAGACCTAGACTCTGAACACTAGTCGATATCAATCCAACAATAATTCCAAGCTACAGCCGCCAAAATTAGCACTTTTATCCGTTCACACAGCGCTGTACGCAACGTACAGCTATGCTCCCTCCAGAAGAGATGCCGCCAAGCAACCCCATTGCGCCTGTGCCAGGTCCGAGGTCATCTGGCAAGGGAGAGTTGAGGCGAATTGTTGAGACGTCGCATAGGCTGTGTATTTGATACAAGGATCGCTTCGTGTTACTGGACTAGTAAAGGGCGTATTCGTTTCGATAGATTCAAGGGGAATGGCTGGTTGAAGCGCTAGTCGTAGGTAACTCGGGAGGCTGTTGAGCTGCCGCCGATTGGAGAGGTATACCAGCAGGTTCTTTATTCGAGAGAGGACCGAAGGATATAGAGAATGAATATGAATACACGGTTTGATGCGAGAAGTTTATGTCTTGAATTGAAACTAATCAATAGAAAGTCGGAGGCGGACAAGCTTGAGTCGAGCGTGGGACACCTGACGTGAGTATAGTAGACTACACTACCTACCCAGAGCAGATAGGCATGCAGCTCTCACACGGGACTAATTAGCCACTGTGGCGGTGAAGTTACATAATGCACATGTAAACGATGCAAAATGGCCTTGAGATGATTTCGATTATTCACACTCAAATATATAGGTGTTTTAAATAAGTTCCTTCCCACAAATGCACCTCATTCTTCCAAGAACTACACGCATCTTGCGATGAGGTGTGAGAACGAGACCCTTTGTCGAATGGCTGTGCTACCTCAGTACCATGTGTACTCTAAACAGTGGGGAGCAACTGTGGCTTGACTACCTAGCCCCCAAGCTCCAGTCAGTTCCCTGCTGGTGCACAGTAAGATACAGCTAAGAAGCTGGTAGGCTGGGCTTTGGAACGGCTGGCGTCACATCCCATACCTACACAGCTACCAACTCCATCATAGTCCATCGCCGACCTTGACCTTCACTAACAAGAGGCCATCACCATCCTTTTACCGCTTCAGCCCTGAACCCATCCAGGGTCTTCCTTATCATCCTCTCACCTTTCGAATCTAACAAATCCGTATAAATCTGCCCATCATGTCGCAACACGCCTTGTCCGACCAGCAGGTACGCATGCCCAAACGACGCAGTCCCTCATCCGTCTCACCAGTCTCCTAATTCTAACGCGCGGTTCTCCCCACAAATAGGTCAACAATGAGCTCAGCAAGATGACGGCGTTCATCAAGCAAGAAGCCATGGAGAAGGCCCGCGAGATCGAGATCAAGGCCAACGAGGAGTTCGAGATCGAGAAGTCCAAGCTCGTCCGCCAGGAGACAGACGCCATCGATAGCCAGTACGAGAAGAAGTTCAAGCAGGCCACCATGTCCCAGCAGATCACCCGCTCAACCGTTGCCAACAAGACGCGACTCAAGGTCCTCGGCGCCCGCCAGGAGCTGCTCGACAACATATTTGAGGAGGCCCAGAAGAAGCTCGCCGAGGGTGCCAAGGATAAGGGCAAGTACCAAAAGGCCCTCAAGGGTCTTCTGCTCGAGGGTTTCTACGCTCTTGATGAGCCTGAGCTGCAAGTTCGCGCGCGCAAGAAGGATTACGATGTTGTCAAGAAGGCCATCGAGGAGGCTGCCAAGGAGTTCAAGAAGGAGCTTGGAAAGGACATTACAGCAAAGATTCAAGAGGACGATCCTCTCCCCGAGGGAATGTACGTGCAAGCCCGTTCCAGAAGATACCTAGAGTGGGCAGCTAACACAGTAATAGTGCTGGCGGTGTGGTTGTTATCAGTGGAAATGGAAAGATTGACATCGATAACACTTTTGAGGCGAGATTGCGACTCTTGGAAGAGTCTGCTGCTCCTGCAGTACGAGAGGCTCTATTCGGCAAGAATCCTAACCGCAAGTTCTTCGACTAAACCCCCTTTGATAACCATAAATATCTCTATATGGGAGCCTCTACGTACGTATCGTTTCCATGAGTGCACGACTGGGGAGGCTTCAGCCATTCGCGACCCGCATTGTTCATCAGTCTGCGCTTGTAGTTTAGACGCTGTGTATTGTGTTCGACTCTTGTCTGATTTGGGACTTGGCCCGCGGTAGAATTGATTACACGTTCAAATACTCGCGACAACAGTACCTAGTGAATTGCAGCGCGCCTTCACCATTTTCGCCTAGCCCTGTAGCTCTCAAGTTTATTTCACCTTAACCACGATCGTATCGGCGTCTACTGCTTCGTGGAAGACCTCCTCTGATTCTGTGGGAGATGATTCAGCCACTTGATCCGGCACACTCTGTGGTGCTTTCTTGAGGAAGTTCTTGATATAATTCTGCTGCCTCGGAAGGAAGGGATCCTCTTTCTGACCTGGCAGGTCAAATATGCTCTTCTTCGCCTTTCGGCGTGTACGGACTGAATGTGCGAGTCGCTGCTGGACCCATTCTATGACGCTTTTGGCTTCTGTACGAGCGATTTTCATACCCGCATCGTTGATCTTTCGCCAGATTTCCCTCAATCTGACTGCAAGCTCGTCGACATCGCTATTGAACTGTTTTTCCTTCTCCAGATCATCGGATGGTGCAAATGACCCGTCATCCACAACGATGTTGATAAGGATAATGTTGGCCTGGAGGTGGGCAAAATCTGTCTTGGGCCCGACAAAGAAGTCCTCGTGATCCAACAGTGCTATGACGCCACGAATAGTAACCACATCATCGGGATGGTAGCGACCCAAGCTTGGGTCGTTGAACAAAAACACCACAGCCAGTCGCCGTCTAAGCTCGTGAGATCTGGCTTTGCTGATAGGCAGACACGCAAGAGCATTGGTCCTCACACATTGTTCTTTGACTAATGTGTGCAGTTGTGTACATGTTTCAGAGCACTGTATATGTGTCAGTAGAATCTCGCGTACCAGCCTTGAGTGTAACTCACAAATGCACCCCAGCCAGGCTGGGGAATAGCTTCGAGAAGGGCATGGATAGAAGTTTCGTAAGTGACCAATAAATCAATCTCGTATATCAAGAACCTGTCCATTGACATACGTAGGAGCGTCTGAGAAGCATAGGCAACTGACTCCTGGGCCATGTAGGGCGAGATGGCTGTGAGGAGTGATAAGAAAGAGCTGAGAGATGACCAGTCGCGTCCTTCATAAGGTTCGGCACTTGGTATCAGAAGATTCAACTGAGAGTCTTGTTGTTCAAGCTCAGAAGAAGCACCATATCGACAAAACAGCTCCTCCAACCGACGCGGCGTGACAATGCGTGCAACTGCTTCTGGGCACGAGCTGATCAAGTTGCAATATTCTCTTCTGACAAGGGTTGACTTTTGGGAGCAAACCTCACTCAGTATCCATTCGAAAAGTTCATCCGGGAGTTCCCCCTGCATTTGCAAGAGGGTAAAAGGTAGTCCTGAGGCGAGATGTTGCTCCCGTGTCTGGTAATCGCCTTGAGTCAACAGTCTCCATGGCCCTTTGTTAAACTTTTTCGGGGCAGCTGTGGGGGATGGTATTGTATATCCTTCACGAAAGAAGCAATATCGTAGCTGTGAGTGTCCCGGTGCTGACCTCTGAACGGCTCTCATAACTTTCTGGGCATCTTGTCCAGTGTTATGCTTGACAATGCCCTCCATCACATCCCGCGACGTCTCGTCTGTTGTCATTTGTTGATCATGTTGTTCAGCAGTTGAAAGGGCCTTCATCTTTAAGGCACTTGCATGAGTCGCATCATCCTGTCTAGCATCCTTTGCAAGAGCTTTAAGGTCGAATTTGTGCTTGGACATTATCGCCAATGGGGACGTAGGAAACTCAACTGCAGTTCTCTTGGCCCTTGGGGTCGTAAAGGGATTGTGAAGCGGGGTACCAGCAGCCTTTCCTGGGCGACCTCGTCCGAGGATAGCGGACAGATCCTCCAGCGAATCGTCTGAGGATGCGCCAAGATCATCTTCTTCGTCTGAATCTTTTATCTCAAAGTCTCGGGGTATTGTTGCCGTCTTCTTGACCGGGGTCGCCAACTTTTGTTCCAACGGTGATGAAGGTGGCTGTGGTGATGATGGTGGGTTTGGTGTTGAGATTCTTGAGGCCTTGGGTGTTTGTGACTTTGTCACGGGTTTGAAGAAACTCATAATATTCCCATTTTTACCCTTTTGAGACATGGCGTATCTGATCCGATAGCCAGCGGTAGTTTATAAAATGCAGCAGGTTATTTGGAGAGTCCCCTGGTTTTGATACCTTCACCTGTAAAAATGACTGCAGGTACAGGGTGTGTGAAGGGAAGTACAAGATGCAGCTACGACATACTAACCGCGTTAATGGCTTTAGGTTGAGACGCGTTGAGGTACCTAGGGTGAGGCGGGTGACTAAGTGTGGCTGCCGTGGCTGCCTGGGGGCCTCCTACCTAAGGCAGGTAGGGTAGTTAGACGCTGACTGCAATGAGTTACGGATATGAATAGCATCATCAATCATCATGCGACTATGTCTAGTGCTTAGGTTAGAGCAATTTCTAGTACAACAGCCGACATCTTAAAGAAGTTACATGTTGCATCTTGGCCGCTGACAGACTTCGCCCTACAGATGTAACCATTTCTAGATGTGGCGCTCTACAAAATGGGCGGCTAGGTACTGAAAAAGGAATGGCGATAGTTCTTGGCCTGGCCCCTTTCTCTACACTAGAGTTTCCAGAAGAGTCCCCTCTTGGACATCGGTCTTCTAGTTCTCAGCATTGACCGGGCCTTTATCACGATGTAGACATAATGCTGTTGTTTTTAGCTCACTGGTTCGTGCTCCAAGATACGCGGCGTGTGCGGGATCAAGCCTCATAATCTATCAACGACACATGGGTGTTTCGTCCATGCAGACTGTGGTCGAGAAAAGGGGTTCATTATGCGTTTAATGCCAACACCGCCGAGAACGCTGGAGAACGATCGTCGGAAATGGAGCCTCTGCGTTCATTCCAGCATTTCGTCTCTTATTACAGCACAAATCATAGTGCAGTATTGAAATCGGGGGTTGGAAGTTTGTGTCTGGTATGCGACCCCAACGTTGACTTAGACCTTATTTCGTTCGGCATTGGTTTAGTGCAACGTCGATGTTGGTGAAGGTAATGAAGCTGTTGAAGGATCAGGTCTAACACGCCCAAGGCTCCAAGCTGACTG